AATAAGCCAATCAGATCCATAGCTGACGAAGTAAACAAGGTTAAATATACCGTAGTGTCATCGTGAAGTGCGGTGTGTAGGACACTTCAGATTTTTGTAGTGCGCGTTATGCTTTTGGCCCTATTTAGCATACCAACCGTAGTGTTCCATGCCGCACTATGGCTTGTAGTGCGTAGTGCTCCTTCGTAGTGCTAGTGCCCTATTTAGCATACGGGCCGACCTTATGATGAGTTCAGGACTTCTCAGTCCACGGTCACGCTGATGCGCCGAAAACACAATGAATACACTATTTGTGGCATTAGTTAGACCACACCTTGAGTTTTGCAACGTTGCCGGGTCCCCCAAACTTCAGAAAGACAAGAAACTTATTGATGGTGTTTTGAGGAGAGCAACTCGAGTCGTCCCAGGATTTAAGGATGTAGCTTATGAGCAGCGCCTGGAGATGATGAACATTCCTAGTATGGCAAATGGGATAACTCGTGGCGCCTTTTAGAACCTTACAAATACACTCATAGCTATTACCGGGATGAGAATTTATTCACGCTAAACACGGAGGGGGGTCATCAGTTTAAAATAAAGAAACCAAGGTGTAATATATACTGCGAGGCGGCACTTCTTCTCTCATCGTGTGGTTGATCGGTGGAACGGGCTGCCAGCGGAGATTGCCGAGGCGACAGCGCTGAACGCCTTCAAGAACCGACTTGACTCGTATATGCCGAGTCAAGTCGACCACTAGACATGATATATGGTATACAGTATATGTATATGGTATAAGGTATATGGTATAATGTATATGGTATAAGGTATATGGTATATGGTATATGTATATGGTATACGGACAATTGGACTGGGCGCTCTTAGAGAGCGCGCATTGCCGAAATTTTTTGACTTGACGTGGCCATGTGGCCATTTTTTTAGCAGTTTGTGTTTGAATGCAAGACGACGAGACTCGACGACAGGCCCTCGTCGGCCTAATCATCTGCGTCGATTCATGCTATGCTATCATGTGGCCATTTTTTTAGCAGTTTGTGTTTGAATGCAAGACGGCGAGACTCGACGACAGGCTCTCGTCAGCTTAATCATCTGAGTCGATTCATGCTATGCTATGCTAAAACAAACACGACTGAATACATTTACAAAATAAGATACAACGAACGTGTTCAAGACATACTATACGAACGCGTTTATGACATACTTACTAACGTGTTATGTTTAGTAACTTGTGGCCGATCATGAATTTTTATAATTAGCTGGGGTTTGATCATGTACTTAACTCAGCCCTCTAGCTTGTGGCTCCCAAATATTCTCTAAAGCCCACCCTGCTGCTTTGTGTGAAACTTCAATAATGTAGACTCCGGAATAGACCTGTAGGTTTTACGTAGCTTTAATGTTAGTTTGGGTAGATCTGGCATAAAGACAAGTTATTAGACTTTATAAAAAGAAATCACAAACTATAAGGGAAAAGAAGACGAGCCAGAGTGACCTCAACTGTAGCAGCAACACGATACTATACTGTGGAATGGAGGCTTGAAGATATGAATTGATTGCAGATTTATTGATCAATCAATCACCGGTTAGCTATCATCTCATACTGTACCTTGTTCATGAACCGCAATGCCCAATCAATTTACTTCTCATTCCCGTGACCACGACGTTAAAGTGAGTCGGTATCATAACTACTGTAAACGATTCGTGATGAAGCGCATGTATATCGAGTATATGTGTGCCTAACTCTTTTTTCCCCCTATATCCTCCATTTCAAGTCTCATATCGTATGTATCCTAGTTTTTTCGGCTGTGTAGTAATTTACTAATTAATAATTAAAATTTGTGATTTCTACTTAATAATTTTAAGCTTACTCATATACGAGCTTTATCATAAGCTTTATAATCGGAATAAATAAAACTTCTGCACTATCTTTCAATGCAAGTTCCCCTATCATCAACTTTACACGCCTCTCATTTATCTTTTTTATACTATCTATATTCGTATAAGAAGTAACAATCACAACAACTCTAAAAATATCAATAACCTGATCTCTGCTGACATGAGGTTCCTTTATCTATAGTCAATGCATAATTATTGCCCATATAAGATGATGATCTGCGTAGGCGACGTATAGGCGGTATATAATACCAGTAGTTAACTATAGTATATAACGAACAACAAACGGACGGTTACTAAAACTTGAAACGTATCATTAAATAAGCTACGGGTAAAACTGATAACAGCTTGTTACTAAAATTAAATATAGCAGCAGCAACAATAAAAATGACACTGATTAAGAACCGGATTAATCGGGAACTTGTTTGTAGAAAGCTGCAGCATATCCAAATTCAAGTCAATACTCAGACTGACTCAGAATAAAGTCACGGACTTTTGTCATTAAAATGAATTTGGAGCAATCTTCTTTGAAACCACTAAGTAACTCATTCATATTTTACACAATTGAAAACCCCTTTACTATTCCCAATTTCTAAACGAACTGGGGACAAATTGACGATTCAAAACAATAAATTGACGATTCAAAACGAAGTTTAATGTGGGAACGAGTCTCATTCGTGAATTTTAGAAGCCGAAATTTATCAAAACGAACAAGTTTTAAAATTCTAGACAGCCTATATAATTCGTTGGTGAGAGTCAATATTGTTAACACATCTTACCATAAGGATTGACCGCAGTAACTAATTGAGAAACGTGATGGTCGTTTCATTTAATGAAAGGCAGTTTTAGAGTTTCTATAAAACAATAAATAAAAATCTTTATAATGAGGAAAAATAATGCACCACATGGGCTGTACTCAGTCCCATACAAACGTAGATAGTTTATTTTTAAATCAAATCATTACATTACAAAATATTTATATATACATACAACGTTTCGGAAAACAAATGCACTAGTCACCAGTGATTTTTCACCGTCTCCATACGAATCTAATTCCTGGAAAGAATCTAAGCCAAGAATTATATTGCTGGACACAATAAATTTAGCATCATGATAGATTGGGTTTCACAGTCAATGAATATTGGATAAATTTTGAGCGTACCTAAATTACTCAGGATTCGAAGCAGTTTTTATATTTTTTCTCAGAAACAATCGAGTTCAGAGACCAAAAATAGTATTTCTATTTTAGCTAAATTGTTAATTTTTGCTACCTACTCAATGAGTTGACACCAACATATCTTATTACTTTGCTTAAGCCACAAATTAAGCAAAAATGTAAAAAAGCCGACTAAATGTTAAAAGCCGATGACCAGCTTTATCATCAGTAAAAAACTTGAGAAATACCATACAAGAAAATTAAAAAGCATGAAAAATTGCAAACAAAAATCCCTGCACACGATATTCGTCAAATTTCATGTAGATATTACGTGGTGTCATTCCGACGCATTCAGAGAATAAGTGAGATTTTGTCTAGATCAGTGGTTCCCAAACTTTTTCAGGCTGGCGCCCCCTTTGGCTCCCTAGTGAATTTCTAGCGCCCCCCACAGACACATATAAAATCATGCGCCTCTTTCTATAAAATTTAGTACGCTGCAATATTAAAAGATAAAGGTTAAACACAAATGTGTATTTCACAAATAGAACCCCTTTTAGTGACCAAATATGTTTTTCAGCCGTTTTAACTGTTTCAGCACTAGAAACCTAGGACTTTTCGGGCAAATTTACGGCCGGACTCGTGGCCGGTCTCACGACCTATCTCCAAATTCAATTATCAAGTTATATCACCCAAACTAATGAACGCAGCTCAATAAAACTTGTAACATGAATTCATCAGAACTTGACAGTGATGTTTAGCTTGCGAAATTTTTTAAATATCACCTTCATTCGTGAGTTATATTGCGATACAAATTCGCAGTGATCAAAGAATTTCTTCCAAACCACCGCACAGATTTGAACGAAATTTTGAATATACATTCATAACTACCAAATGATGTTTTTTAGATTAAAAAAATTTTTGATTATACCGTCGTTTGCGAGATTTTATTTTTCATTTCACAGTCATTCTTGATTTCACACTTCCATATTCGCTTTCGTTTGGAAGTTATACAGATATAGGATGAACGACCGGCTTTTCTACCGACTGGTTTAACCAAGAGCCGTTTACGTATAGCCGTATAACTCGCAAACGAAGGCAAAACGAAAAAATTGTAACGAGCTAAGCATCACCGTTGCTAAGGTTAGGTATTAAAATACTAAATTTCATTCAAATCTGTTCACTAGTTTGGAAGAAATTTCTTGATTACTGCGAAGTAAAGCACGTATTGCTGTTTAAATCATGAATGACACTCGCGAACGAGGGCACAAGCGAAACAATTTTGACGAGCTTAACATAACCGTTCGGTACTTAGGACTGTAGATTCAAAATTTCGTTCGAATCTGTTCAGTAGTTTGGAAGAAATTCCTTGATCACTGCGAATTTCGGCCCGTAAAGCCACCATATAAGAATGGCAAAAAAAAATTGAAGGCAAAATTCTAAAATTTTTCACGAGCTTTACATTACCGTACCGTTAGGTCCTAATGAATACGTGCACCACGTTTCATCGAGTTAAGTTCAGTAGTTTGAGAGATATTCCTTGATCATTGAATTTGGAAATTGGTCGTGAGACCGACCGCGAGTCCGGCCGTTAATTTGTCGGCGACGTAAACCCAGGAGAGGTTAAAAAATATAACGCCGTATTCACTGCATTGAGTGACAGAGAGCGCATTTTCTCGTCGACGAAAACGTGAAGTCACGGACGGAGACAGACGGACGGACATGGCGAGCACAATAGTGTATTTTTTCCATAAGTGAGAAAATGCGCTAAAAACAGATCTGGGTGAAAAAACCATCGCTGGGAGTCATGTGCTGCACGTGTTGTGTACAAATCGTCAAACAAACGTTCGAACATCTAACTGCGACTTCGGACTGTCGCCCCCCTATCGCCCCCCTACAGCCCTCTTCTTCTTTACCGCCCCCCAAAATCTTTCCATCGCCCCTAGGGGAGGGATATCGCCCACTTTGGGAACCACTCGTCTAGATATTGATGCAATTTTGCTCTCTTATGGGTCACCTTCACTCAGTTTGACGTAGAATAAGGGCGTATCAGTGCTACGTGCATAAAATGCGTCATTATTTGGAAAGTGTGACCTATTCTTTTTCTTAGTTATACACTGATGTGCTCTGCGCTGCACATCTGTACTCGTAAACTAGTTGACTGTACTCGTAAACTCGTCGGAATCCAACACAACTGTACTCGTAAACTCGTCGGAATCCCACACAACTGTACCCGTAAACTCGTCGGAATCTAACACAATTGTACTCGCAAACTTAATCTTTAATTCATTGGGTGATAATTCAGATTCACCGTAAAGTAAGTTTGTCCGTTCAAGACTCTTGTGCTTCAGATTCTACGATCAACGAATAGCTTAAGATTTTTTAACTGAAATCGTGTTAAACCAACGCCTAAAGTTCTCATCGGCTTAAAATGGTAAATCGATTGATATTTACGTTCCTTTTCCCGTTTTTTTGGCATTATGGTTTCAATCTTTGCTGTGTAAATATAGTCTTTCTGTTGAATTTACTTGTAATCTTGAAAGATTTTGAATTGATGATGGAGCTCGTTTTATAAATGTTTTGAATAAAGATATGGAGAATATTTTCGGCGTTTTCTGAAGAGCGTCTGATGATCATTTCTGCGGGAAAACTGGTCGCTACATGCAAGTCCACCTGAAAATTGGCGAGCCTATCTACTACTGATCTGTTTTATTTTTAAATTATTGATAAATTGATCCAGAAATGATCCAAGTATACTCATATTCCACTTGAAACCCAACTTTCGAAGAACCCTTGCTACGAAATGCTGGCAGTTTCTTTCTCTTAGGTGGTACCGTTCTCCAATTATGACCTTAAAGACCAGCTCTAAAGATGAGATTAGATTTTCGACAGTCTTTAGCTTTTTGATTAAACCGAGACTTTTTGAAGGTATATTTTTCAGCAGGATATTTTTTCCATATCGGTAAATTTTAATTGATTTCCTAATGACTTCTTCTTTTTCACAACTTCTTTGCACTAAAATTCCTTCTTTTAACCTTTCAAAAGACCACCAAGCCTGCCCCACCCGTATAGTTATGAACTCATGATAAGCACCCTTCTTGAAAAGGTAACTGTTCGGTTTGGGACTCAACGGACCTGCATTAAGGGGAGCTTTGTACTCGTCAACCGCACCCAGTAGCTCACCATCTACTTTGGCGCAACTCTTCATCACTTCCCACAGCTGCTTCAGTGATATTTTCAGCATTACTCCCGTTTCTAGTTCAGCGAAGATAATCTTCGTTGCTGAATCTGGAAATGATAGAATAAATGGTCTCATGGGTACTTCATCTATCTTTATCTTGGGAAATAAGTAAGGATGAGTTGTTTTTAGTTGGACTAATTTAGATTAGAGATTTACGTGGATTTTTGATTACGGATGTCATTAGTATTTTGAAATACGCACGTTCTACTACAGTCATCACCAGGTAACTTTCTTGCCAATAGTATTTTAGGTGGTGCAAAACAAGATAGTTTAAAATTGTTCGAGATTGACTAAGAGATTAATGACGAGTTCGAGATTGACTTAGTCCTGTGCATCCAGCTATGACTTACTGTCTGAGAATTCCGATCGCTTTCAAGTGTATGAATTTTGGCCATTATGCTAATCATGCGGCTACTTTTCCGGCTTGAGAACCGAAATTAAACAATCTCACCTCCGTTCGATGAGATCTCCAACAAGTGCCCATCAATGTCCAAAGTGAAGCCCTCGACGCCGCTTGGAATATCGGCAATTGCTGAGCTTAATGAAGCAGATGACCTCAGAGAAGGCATCTCGTCGGTGGTAACATTCAATTTACGTGGTTCAGTCACGCCTGAATAAAATAATTGTTCAATGTAAATGTAAGATATAGGTCCCAGAAGTCGTATGATGGATTGTTTAAGATTTTCTAAGATGATTTTAAGGAGCCCGAAATTGACATAATCAAAAATAAAACGAGTGACTTCATGAATAAGAAAAGGAGATTGGAGCTGAGCGATTAAAAATACAATACTTTACATAAAACGAGTTTGAATGAAGGACTAATTAAAAATAATGAAATAAAATTTAATACAATGAATCAAGAGTAATTCATAACAGCGGTTACGAGGCTTCTCAACTCAAATTTATTATAGGTATTATTACAGATTTATTTCGCTTCTGAGTATTATTGCCATCACTCTTAATATTAACTATTATCCTCTACAAACGGAGCGTTATATCCATCTGCGAATCGTGGTCACGATCATTCAATTCGATTAAACAACGAATTGTTGAAAAGAAAATCTAAGTGAACAATGAATAAAAGGCGCAACAGAAATAGCAGGACAAACCGCACTTCAACATTCGGAAAGAAATAAAAGTCGAGTTGAGATGCTCGTAAAAATTCTTGATATGTAGAACAGCATATGTTTACTTCATGGGTTCGACCAACTTTCACAAAATTTTATGAATCTGAATACTGACTGTTTAAGAATCACACACAAAGAAATTTCCGATAAATCAAGTACATGTAAAAGGGCGATTATTACGTTAAATTGAAAGCGGGACGTTGACTTTCCTCGCAGAAGAGCTGCTTGCTACTGAAAGCTTGCCAGCTTATCATGCAATCAAGCGTCTCAAGATAACGAGCTCAAGATAAGGGACTAAAGATAACAAGCTCGATATAAGGAGCTGATCACGTACCGAGAACCATCGACTCGGTGATTTTGCGACGTCATGCCTGTCTTAAACCTTTACCGTATTGTAACCGGCGAAATATTGTCACGCGCCTACTTCCCAAAAAGGATACATTCTAGTGAGCGCAAAATGACTTGCACTGATGGTTGCCGCCACGTACGACAACTTTAAAATCTTTTCTGCTGCGTACAAACGTTCCCAGGTTGCTACACTCAATAGTTTACGTATAATTTAAGTTGAAAGTTATGTTCCCGGAGGGTAAAATACGGCGGTACAGGGTTAAGAGGCTGAGGTACCGTCGTCAGGCCGCGCCCAGTCCTATGGAGTTTCTTCACTATTTCTTCAAACTATAACTCCTCTCCTAAAAAAGAAAGACGGCTGAAATCTGGAATGCTAATTCAGAGGTTTTTTCTTCATTTCACGTACTTTGATAAAATTTGATGAAATTTGCAAACTTTTCATTTCAACTGTTATTAGGAAGGCTAAAATTTTGCACTCCCATGTTTGTGAAGCTAGCGAATTTTCTACTATTTTCTCGATGAAGGCAGGTTAACCTATTCATTCTTCATTGATCGGTGAACCATTCACTTAATTTCGAATCAGAGTTCCTGTGTCAGATATCAATCATTTAACCCCAATAAATTTTTGTGAAACTTCAGCAGATTAAAACAAGAATAATTGGCGCATCGTTGTTCTACAGGGTGGGCCAAAAAGCACGGACCATTTTCATTTTTTAACATATTTTTTATTTCTCATTATTTTTCATTTTCTTAATATTAATTTTTTTTTATCCTGGAAATTAATTATGGAGAAATTCAGTACCGTCCAACGTACAAAAATTGTAAAATTTTATTATCAAATTCAAGGCTCAATAATTCAAACTCAAAGAGCATATGGAAGGCATTTCAATGTAAAAGACAAGAACCACAAGCAACCGCAAGATTGTGCCAACAAACCGCTATCTTTAATGGAGCTAAAGGATAACATCACTAGAGAAATAAGAGAAGTAAGCCCATAAACTTTTAAAGTTTATGGCTGAGGTAACCGAAAGAGCTGCAATTTGTGAAGTAGAAAATGGATGGCATAGGCAGAATGTTATTTTTCACAACGATAAGTATATTTGTAACAAGAATCAAATTATATTTGTGTTAGAAAATTAATTTCCGTCGCCTTGACTCTATGATACTAAAATTTCATGCCTATTACCGTTGAAATAAAAAAGTTATTTAAAATTTAAATGGTTCAGTGACTTTTGGCCCACCCGTTACATTCGTTGACGAGCAACCTGCCTCGCTGAAAGCTTCTTATACGGTCCCTCTTCTAGCTTTTCTTCCCCACTACCTGCCAAAGCCATGGCCTCGCCAGCCCACAAAATCCCCCATCTGTGTTAGGTGGTGATGGCGTACTAGCCTTCTATTTTCCGCTGGGGTGTTAACTTTGGCTTTGGTTAAGCGGCATCAAAATTACAGCGCATTCGTAATGTATTCTCACGTAACACTCGACTTCTAAAATTCAATTAAGCCTCATCTTCAAAGCCGATGTTTTCAAGTTCGTCCAATGCCATTTAAAGTTTCTGCATTATGTTTCTTCAGCATAAGAACTAACCAGCGTCGGCATGAAAAAGGTGTTTACACATGCCTGATGTGTTGCCATCATTGAACTTGTTAATATCGCCACAAAGTTTAACGACTATTTGCTTGGTTTATATCCCAGCCATCATGGGTCTCTCCAGCATGTTCTTTGCTCCTTAAAATATTTCCATTTACCACATCTGATTCATGGCATCTTGCAGGGCCTAAGAAAGCCATCCACATTCCACCAAGCAGCTGACCGATCGACACTGCTCACATGTTTCTCGTCATACGCGGTTGAAGGATCAACAGCAACATCATTCACTAAATATTCAGCCAAACATCGCCAAATCTGCCAACTAATTTATCTGCGAAATTAGTTTGGCAACCAAATGTCGCCTAATCTGCCAATGACTAGCAACTGCCCATTGAAAGTTGGTATTCTTTAAACACGCGTTCGGAATGTGTCGTTGTGCTTTCGTCTAGAAATGAATATTTTGTCTTGCCTTGAATATTTGAGACATGTCTCGTCTCGTTATGTCATGTATCGCTACATATCTATCAGTCTCGTATCGTTTCATAATTATAGGGAATCGGGATACAAGATTTTAAGTCCCAGGACACAAGTCCTGTCCCGGTCCATTCGTTTAATCCGGGATAAATTTTACCCTCTTGTCCGCTATTTTTTTCCCAGCAATTTCTCGTCTCGTCCCGGTTGTCCTAGTTCATTTCGAGAAAATTATTCCGAGAAGCAGGAGTTTACTAGTGCGTGCGTCGGCATTCAAGTGCATACGTTGACATCCTAGTACGTATACGTCTAAACCTTAGCTCGCACTCTGTACATTTCGTTCAGCGAATCGACGTTTTGACATTAGTTTCAATTTCTTGTGAAGTAAATTTTTTTAGTGTTGTTATATCAAACTTAATTACTGTATTGAATCATATTGAAATTAACAAATTTTAATTAAGCTGTTTATAGTTTTTCCCTTTCGTGTCTGAAGTAAGTAATGTACAAATGGGACAATAAAGTTATCCATTTGTTCTGCGACATTCAGTAACAGAAACGGAGGGCAGGAGTGTCTGGAGGCGGTCGCCTCGGTTCGTTCATTACCAGCAACTCGAACTTGCATAGCAACGAAACCTGGCAATGATTTTGCAATAGATTGAGTTACATTGTTAAAAAAGAGTGTGCCTAAGCTAATCATGGTTTACGTCCTTTGAAGTTGAGGCCTGGAGATCCATCTATTATTTGTTGATTGAATAAAATCATTTTTAGCGCATTTTCTCATTTATGAAAAAATGCCATATTGTGCTCGTCATGTCCGTCCATCCGTCCGTCTGTCCGTCCGTCCGTCTGTCCGTGACTTCACGTTTGCGTTGATTTTGAGAAAATGCGCTCTCTGTCACTCACTGCAGTGAGTACTGAGTTATATTTTTTATACATTTAATCGAATACATCTAATACATACAATTATAATGAATTTAATTTAGGTCTTACCGGAGTCTAAATGCCTAGAGGGTATGATAACGATGGTAATGAGTAAGTCAAATATGGTGAGGCCGATTTCGGACATCGAAAGTGCCGTTCAGAAAGATTACCAAAATAGAAATTACGTTCAAGTGTAGATTTTTCATTGCTCTCTTTAGTTGGTATAATATATACCTGCAGGTTCATTCTTCAAATGATGCATTATAGATCGTAAGAAAGCAGTACCGTGCATCCTCTCAAATTCAAAGGATGCCTTTTCAGTTATTTTGCCATTTAAGCAATCACATGATACAAAACTTACAAGTGGAAATCATAAGTAGTAAGAATCAATATAATTCGATAGAAATGAAACTTATATGCGTGAGTGTAAACGTGTTTCAACTCATCAACAAGTTTGTAATTAATTACTCAGCAATATCATACTCTTTTCTTCGGTGATATTATGAGATCAATTTGTATGCTCATCAATCATTCGCTTATATACAATTTATCAAAACACAGACAACATTTAATGTCATCTTCTCCATACGTTCATGTCATGCGACTTCCGAAGCCGCCGAACGTTTTTGACCGTTGACTTAATTTAACAGTTCTTGTTGCTCAGCAATCACACAATTATAACCATGGACCGTGTATACTATTTCAACACGCCTAAGTACACGTAGCGGCCTGAGTTTAATCAGTGGCCTAAGTACACGCAGTGGCATAAGTACACGTAGTGGCCTAAGTACTCGTAATGGCCTAAGCACACCTATTGGGGCCCAATTACTCGTAGAGACCTGACTACACGTAGCGGCCTAAGTACACGCAGCGTCTTAAGTTCACAGAGTGACCTAAGTACACGTAGCGGCCCGAGTACAGGTATCTGGCCCTAATAACATGTAGAGGTTTGATTACACGTAACGGCCTAGGTATAGGCAGCGACATAACTGCATGCACTTAGGGCGATTTCTCTCGTGTGGCTTAAGCTTGACAAGCTTTCAGTGATTGACTGTTGGGCTTACAAACTTGCAACTATGTAATTTTGAATGTACGGCCTCATATTTGTCTTGCAGCCACAGCATAGTACTTATGCTTCGGCTCACAAGCATTTATTTATAAACAGGACCGTTATTGAATTGCTTTATTTCATTTACACGTCATTAACTTCCCTGTAAAGTGCATGCAGTTAACACTCTTTGACGCAGAATAGAATATGTATAGTCAATGTAAGTTATTTTGGGGCTCAAATTCCCATGAATTTGATAATCTTATAATTTTGAGGAGATTAACGAACCATGCCCCTCAACTTGAGCCCCATTTTTGAGCGTAAATTTCAATTACTTTGTTACGAGGTGGCTTACTGTTGGTTTTCTTTAAATTATGTTTCTTATCGATGTTGGTTCGATTATAATATCGATACCTTCCTTGATGAGTTTACCATTCAACAGCTTTCTGTGATCAATCGTGATGGCCGCAACGTTTAATATCCCTTCATTTTCCATTACACGAGTTGAAAACGCGAAGAAAATGTGAGTATATACATCGGATTGAATTTCAGTTGTAATATTAATTAATGTCGAAGTATTTAACTTGATAATATCAATTTTGATGGGATTGAAATTCCATGTGTTCATCAATTAATTCATTTATAACATTAATTCGAGATCGATATCAACTATTATCTATCATTAAATTTAGCATTTTTGCTTATTATTCTCAACCATCCATTACATTTTACCTTAATTCTGCATCTTTAGCAAGAGAAGCTAGCTGAGACATTAAATGGACTTTTAAGGAAAGAAACTTGAATGAGTGAATGTATAGTTCAACATTTATTCAGTGAATGAAAATTTGATCTTCATATAAATATCATTACTTCATTTTAATGTTATTGTGGATTCAATGCTCAGAGATAAATATTTGAAGACGTGTTCCAATCTTACATCTATAATAGTTGAAATTGGCAGTTGTAAAATTAATGAATACAAACAAAAGTAAATAATATCTTATAGGTATATATGTACTTAGCTATATTTTTAGGTGTCACAATCGAAGCATTAAATTTGCAAAAATTACAAACATCTCACTGCATTGTAGCCAAATAATACAGGTCTTAAGCCGTAAATGTTATTCTTCGATTATCGTCGCGTTTATGACTCAGTGTCTCGGTATACACCAATCATAAAATAATTCGTGAAGAGCTAACACTTCAAATTTGGAACGAAAAATTTTCTAGAATTACGTAAGCTGTTAGGAATCAAATTCCGGAATGTTTCATATTATCGGAAAAATTATCTTTGAACATAAGTTTACCCATAAAAACACATCAGGGCATCGTCTACACCTTTGTCTATTTAAGAAGTTGAATGGCCAAGTCACGCCCGAAATAATCAATTATTATAATTGAACCCCATTTGGCGAAGGATCTTCCGAACGAAATGCTGGCAGTTGTTGAGCAAGGCATCGAATGGACTGTTAATTATCGCCTTAAACTCTTCCTTCAACACTGAGATGAGATCATTTACGGTGTCAAGCTCGTTGCTAACACCAAGACTCTCTGAACGTCGTGTCTGCAGGACGGAGAAGCCCTTTACACGGTCTTCTTTCATTGATTTCTTAATAACCGCATCAGCCTGAAGACTCCTTTGCACCAAGATGCCCTCTGCATACCTTTCAAAGGACCGATAAGCTCGCCCAATGCGTATGGTTACAAACATATGAAAAGCATTGAAGATAAGGCTGAAGACGCTGCCTTCGATTGGAGACTTCTGGCTGCTCTCCAGAGGAACTTTGTACACATCAACAGCACCCAAATCTTCACCGTCTGCCTCTGCACAACGCAACATTGTTTCCCATAGTTGATCTGGCGATATTTTGAACACTTCTCCTGTTTCTCGCTCTGTTCTCGGGTCGAAGAAAATCGTCGAAGAAGAACCTGAGAAAATATCAGAAGAATTGATCTTATGAACTTGCTATTCTTGTTCAGTGATCTCCAACTTTAAAATGAAAGGTGATAACCTCAATTATGTGGTACAATTAATTTATCGAGAGGGAAATGATGTTAAGATTGTCAATAGCTATCGTAAAACTTTTTTGTGAAATATACTCGCGATTCTGAAGCGTGTGTGACGGAGCATAACAAACAACGGGAATTTTTTGACAACTGAGCTCGATGAATTTCAGAAAGAATTTGATAATTTTATAAATATCGAACAAGTGATATCATAAATGAGCTTTATCGCACTATTAAGAATTAAAAGTACAAGTACTAGTCTTCGTTCGTTACATTTGTTATCACGCAACCGAATTACCGCGGTGGAATCTTCATTACATGATGTAAACAATCATAAGCCTAAAATCATGGCCGCTAATAAGTTGAAAAAATTCTCTCCACCGAGAAGCAATAAATTTCATTCTAGAACTCACCTCCACCGAGAGCGCGGCTCGATGAGCGTTCACCGATTTTCACCACCGGGTGTACACTAACGGGAAAGTTCACCGATTTTCCATCAATAAGAAAACTGAAGCCGTCAGGAAATATAATATTTGATGTGATTTTTGATAAGAGCAGCTCCGCCGTAGACAAAACAGACATCAGATCGGTGGCAGCGAGAGCGCGGCTCGATGGGATGCTCACCGATTTTCCATCAGTAGGAAAACTGAAGCCACTGATGCCATCACGAAATATATGATTTGATGAGCTTTTCACGAGCGGCAGCGATGAACCCAAAAAAGACATCTCCTCGGTGGCAGCGCTTGCTTCAGTGCCGCCTGTAATATAATGAATGAGAACTATGAGTCACCCAAGTAACTCGAGAGGGAGATAATAATATGAACATCAATAATTTATAATATAATATTAATAGGCGTCAGTTTAGCCTGTAATAAATGGAATGATAACAATTTAAGTGGAGCCTGAAACGTAACTTGAAAGAGAAATGATTACTAATTTGTGTTTAAAATTTTTCTGATTTTAAAATGAGGTAATATTCTGAGGAATTAAGATTTCTAGGGATTCATTGAAATTAAAAGCAATATAATAGATGAGATTATGGAGACAAATATTTAGGAATGATAAGCGAGCCGAAAGGATGGTGAAAGAATATTATATATTAAAACATAGTTTAAGAATTGCTGCAAGCAATGAAGTGGGGCAAAATTATAAGCAGAAGAAAGGAGTGAAATGCATTTATTTTGGGCTGTTAATATGGTTATCTATAATCTATAAAGGATATCATATCTCAACAACGAGCAATTGACTAAGTTCGCCACGTCATACAATTTACAAATTTTCTATGGATAATGTATGGATGGTAAAATTTAGTTATATTAAATAATTTTTTACTCTAGTAACAATATATATCAATGATATTTTTGTCTATAGATATAAACAATGATGTCTACATAAATTTTGGTATTAATTTTGAAAGAGTTAAAAAGCCACTACGGCTCGTTGAATAGAATAATATTGATGGGAAAGTTCGGTAGCCGCAGCTTTGTTTTGTTCTTCGAAATGCCACTGAAAAGAGGCAAAACAGAGGAAGATGACAGAGAATTTCTCTGACGATCGATTTTACAAAATTATGTCGCGCAATGCATGCAATTTAAAAATTTATAATAAAATACGGTGTAATGATTGAAGAAATTCTAATTATTTCCGGTTGCATTATTTTTTTGTGTTACTGTAATGGATATTACGTTTGTCGCGGTATTGTCAACAATTGAGACTAATTTCGCAATTATCGTGATATTCTTTTTAGAGGCGGCGGAACTAACTGCGATAGTCGTTTGAGCCAATATCGTTGCAATCATCATAGTTATTAGTAGCAGATTTAATGGTAATCTTCAAGATTGTCATGATATTTACCGTTGTTGAAGTTATAGAAGTGTTTCGAATGCAGTAGTTATTTGTATGATGAATCTTCTGTTTCAGCTCAAAATTCATGAATTGAAACACAAAACCTCTTACAAGTAAACATAAGAATATTTCAAGAAATTTCAAATCAAGATTGTACAAAAAATTAACGAGGAACACTCACCAAAATCGCAGGAGAAGTTTGGCCAGCAGACACGTCAACCTTCCTTGATGAAGTGCAACCTGCGACTGAACTCTTGACTGCAGATGCTGCAGGATATATAAGGAGCAAGCTGAGGTGCACTCACAGTGCACAACCCTGAACTTTTGTTTCGGCGCCTCCCTCGAGTTATGCGTACACGACATACACTAAGAAATATTAATGGGACATATTGTCCTAATTGTTATGCACTTCCTTCACAAAGCACTGATACACCGTTACAGCGGGCAAAATTATGTCTGGATGACCCACACGAGTGCAAAGTGCGCGTAGCTACTAGGACAAATCTTGGTCATTTACCTGAGTGTAGCAAAATGTAACCTAGGTGTTTAATAGTCGGCGTTATGCATTAATTTTCATTCCTCAATCATTATTCTAACAAGTTTTTATTGAGATAAATGTTAGCTTTGAAATCGGGAAATCCGGGCGTAAAGGTTTTAAATATTGTTTGGATCTGAAGAAAATCTAATAAAGAAGAAAATCTAATATCTAAATGGTACATAAAATCGTGAAAGTATACCATTACGCTCGCAAACCATCACATTGAGTTATGCAGGAATAATTCGTGTGAACAGAAGTGGTGCAATCCGCCATACTCGGTTGCTTGGTATAAAAACGTTCTGTTCAAGCCGTTCACGTGTGTAGGGGACAAAGGCATCTCTGTAGGGGCAACGCGTACAAATTAATTCAATTGTTTGCTATAGTCCTTCTTAAAATTCATTTTTATAAACAATCTGAGTATGGCGCTCTTAGGCATGGAATTTACGTTATTCTTGGCATTGTCACAGATTTTACGACCACCATTATTACTATAAGGAATGTTTTGCATTTTATATCTAATAACGGCTCTGAAAATTTTTAATCATTTACTCCATTCCTTAATCCGATTTATTTCTCAAGTATCTATAAAGCATAGGTTGCTTCTAATACAGTACTAATGCCTTCATTCAAATATTTTCGCCACGGACACGTTTCTTGCAGGGTAGCCAAAAATGTTACTTTCTTACGCAAATGAAATGAAATCTCATAAAAAAATCAGTGAAAACGTACACGTAGTACGTACTCTGCCAACTGATCGTTCGCGAAATCGCGAACGATCCTCGCCCTAACTTTTTACAACACTTCTCTTTAACTTCACTTCTTGTTGTTTGTTTGTTTGTTTGTCTGCTACAAATCTTGTAATCGAAATTTAACACACTTCTACTTATCCTATCTGAAAAAAATTTATATATTAAAAAAAATTATAAATTAAAAAAATTGAAAAATTATTTTTTTTAATATTCGCAAATTAAATGAGTAATTCATTGTACATCAGTAAGATTGGAGACACTGGATTCTTTGGAAGTGTTGTCTTTAAAAAGTAATTTTTAAACGTATATTTTTATTTGTTCACCAACGCAGAGTCCTGCCGTTGCTTTGAACTTTACACTAAATTAACTTGATGAGGTTTTTGCAATACAATGTAACACATCAATAACTTCACAATTTAAGAATTGCGAACATTTTCAAAGATTTTGAATTTGTGAATGTAATACAACGATAAATCAAGTTGATAGCAAACGCGAGTAACATTCGGCAACTAAGCGGCAGGATGGGAGGGTCGGGGCAGAATTGCGGCACTAGCTTACATTGGTTTGTGTAAATAAACAATTAATGTGTGGCGTCTTTCATACGCCCGACATTCTGTCTTGTAGGATAGCATAGCACCTTCGGCGTTGAAGAATCGGCCTGGATTGGCCTGCCGCCGATTCCTGTACGTTTCGTGACTAATTCTCAGATAAATCTTCTCAACGGACGGTGGTTGGAGATCGTTTCTAGACTTTCAGTTGTTCAGTAGGGTACTAAGAATTTCAAGGCTAAACATATGCTCCCTTGTCTAGTCTGTTCTTGAACGTGTTTATACTCGGAGCGTCAACAATATTATCAGGGAGGCTGTTCCACATGTCGGTGACTCGAAGCGAGAAGAAGTGTTGTCGCATGGGTGAGTTGCACCGCAGTTTTTTTAGTTTGCAGCTGTGGCCCCTTGTGTTGATTCTTGTTATAAATTCCAGTAATCCTTCTGGGACCTTGTATAAACCATGAGCTTCAATGAGGTCACCACGCAGACGACGATACCATAGACTGGGAAGCTTCATGATCTTCAATCTTTCTTCATAAGACTTAGCCCCTGTAAGCCTGAAATTATCCTTGTTGCACGTCTTTGATTTCACTTGTTTCATTTGTTTTGATGTACTATCCCTAAATATAATTTTAATAGAAAATTCTTTCATTTAAAGTTTAAACAAGATTAATAGCTTCCACTGTTTAACTCTTAAGTGGACAACGGGTTTGTCCCACCCGCTAGCACGGTAACAACAGTGCCTGACGGGTTGTCTTCTGCCTATTTGGAAATCTCTGATCCATTGGAGTACATTCCTTCAAATCCCAAAGACTTCACTTAGCGCAACTGTCGCTCATGCGGAATACTGCCAAATCCCTTGGCAAAATCGAGGTACACTGTATCAACTGGTTCCTTTTCGTCCAGCAGGTGATTCCAATCATTCAAGGTAGACAGTTGATTTGTGGTACATGATCTGCCAGCAATAAAGCCATGCTGACAGAATAAAGCCATGCTGACAGGATAAAGTCATGCTGACACAATAAATCCATGCTGACAGAAAAAAACCATGCTAACAGTCTGACAGAACATTGTTAACAGTGAAGTGATCGATAATCCTATCCCTCACTACCGATTCCATCACCTAACACACAACACTTGTGAGACTGACAGGACGGTAGTTACCGGGGCTACATACGTCACCTTTTTTAAAACAATGGTGTTATTTGCGCTTCTTTCCAGTCGGCCGGCAAAGTCACTTTGTTCCAAGTTTTTCAAAAGAATACAGTTAAAGGGCCTACCAGGATGATTGCTAATTCTTTGAGTAATGTAGAATGGAAACCGTCTGATCCCTATGACTTTATTGTTGGGATTCAGAGAGACCGGGCGTGTGAGAACCTCCTCTTCGTGTATCTCAAAACTAGTTAACTTCGAGCCCTCTGGTTGCTCCTCAATAGCTGGGATAATGTTCAAGTCCTCATCTGTGAAGATGCTGCTAAAGAACTGACTTAAAATGTTGGCCTTACCTTCCTCAGAAGATATATTTCGTTGATTTACATTTAAATCAGCAATACCGTCCCCTGTCTTACACTTCGAATCAGCGCACAAAAAGAAGGCTTGTGGGTTCTTCTACTGATTCTTTTTTTAATTTCAATTAAAATTAAAAATTTTAATGTCTTCTTTCAAAGTTTTTCACTTTGAAGCGAAACGCTTTTTTACTTTGATTTCGAGCTTTTGCTCGAAGTCGAGTCCATAAATAACGCTTGTATGCTTCCTTCTTTGTCTCTTGCTTTGCTATAACTGCATTTTCCATCCAATGTGTTTTTCTCACTCCACCGAGCTTTATCTTTAGTTCACACGTATCAACTGCACGTGTTCTTGATGACGTGTTCTTGATGAATGACCATGACTCATTCATGTCCATAATACAGTCCAGAATGTTCGCTGCACTCACTGCTTCACGAAGTTTAACATAGTCGCCTTTCGCAAAGTTGAAACATTCACGCTTCCGAGGCGTCATTTCTGTATAGCACTTAATACTGAAAAACAATGACTGGTGGTGACTTTTGCCCAACGGAGCATGATAGATGGTGAAGCTCATCTATCATTGATTCTTCACTAGTAAACACTTGGTCTAAAATATTTGGAGTCTGTTTACCTCTAAAATGGATTGGCTAAGTTATGTTCTGGAATAAAAATGAGTCTCTTACAGACTCCATGAGCAAGGATGAAGAGTGATTCCCATCCCTTGTAGAGGATTCATCTGCCCAATCTCTTTCTGGATGGTTAAAGTCACCAACGATCAAAGTATGCGACTTGCTGAAAGTCATGCTCGGTGAAAGACTGTTTAGTACATTATCATTATCAGAGGAACAGTTTGACGATCTATACACGACATCAATGAGGAGGCTATCTCTGCCTTTTAGAGTAAGTTCGCACCACACTGATTCTCTAGTTGATCGGAGCTCTGTAGATAACTTAACTTGTTGGGCCCCATAAAAGGATCTAACCGACCGAGCTACACCTCTACTGCACTGCTCTTCGTTCAAGTTATGAAAACAATGAAAACCTGGCAACTGAAATTCAACAGGTACAATTTCCCCCCTTGAATTTTAAGGAGCGTCTCTGTAATACAAATAATGTCTACACACTCATTTGCGATCACAGTTAACAGTTCATTTCTTGTTCAAAACGGAATCAGAGTTCGAGTAGAAACATTTTAAAATTTTTTGTTCACTTCCATTTTGATGTACATATGAGGAAGCTTTTTAGATTATTTACAGAACTGGATTTATGTACATGACTTCTATTCACTTGTCTTCCAGCTCCACTGACTAACGGCGAGCGGCAAGAGTCGTTGTGACGTCTTAAATGTAGTTGACATGATTTGCCGTGCTTCTGCATTTGTTTCGCTCCTGCCATTTCTTGCAGAAATCCACTGTAATTGAGAATCCTTCTTCCTCTGGATTCCCCTGGAGAAGGATTCCCCTGATTCCCCTGGAGAAGGATTCCCCTGGAATCCTTCTTCACAAAAACAGACTTGAATTCAACGGTTTCTCCTAGTTTTTTCGTTGCCTCAACCACGCTCCAAACCTGTACCGGATGTTTCACAGTCACCAACAAGGGTCTGCAGGTGTTGGCAGCAGCATTCTTGGAACGCAGCCTGTTACAAGATGAGAAATCATCCGGTGTAGCAACTAGTGCTTTGCTACAGCAATCTACAACATACTTATTGTCAGCATCACTCGTTCGATCGTCTCAGGTGCGGTGCTTTCGGGAATGCCGAACCATACAAAGTTGAATTTCCTACGTTCTCTGTCTACTAATTCGCGGGAGCTTTCGATAGCGACTTCGGCTATGACAACGTTGTGATTCTTCATTTCCGTCTTTTCCAACATTTCTGTATTTTTCCATTGAGCTTTCTCTTCAATCAACTCTTTGCAGAAAAATGCTGCGAACAGAGCGAACTATTTCTCTTCCATCTGCTTCTCTCTTTTTAGGGCACGAAGAGTCCGTTTCTCGGTTTCTCGGAAAAGACTCGGTTTTACGTAGAAAAAAAAATACTCTTCAAAGCTTAAATTCGCGCAATTGATGCAAATGAAATCCTCGCAGTGTTGCAGTGTTCACAGATGACCATCTGATCATGTATTCGCAACATCTTTTTGCAGAACTTGCAAACATCTTCAACTATTTCGATCTTATATTCGATTTTCAACTTATTTCTATCTTATATTCGATTTTTTTTGGTGAATCTTGTTTATAAGAACCGTAGTCATTCTTAACCATTTTATTTACTTTCTTACCTGCCATCGAAATATCATCTTTCTTAATTGTTCAATGGTTACCGGGTCCGTTCACTGAGATTTAGCTTAAGTTTCCAACAGCAATAAATCGCCGGAAACAAGCCTGTACAACACAACCGCCCGATG